TGCTTTGTTTAAGAATGCTTCTAGTTAGATGATGAGGGCCCGGGCAGAAGAAGAGTTTATGTTCCCAAAGTTCTGTAGCCTTTTAGCTGACAGGCCCTGACTTAGAAGAAACCCAAATGGTTCTTTGTATACGATCTACTGTTTACTGCTTGACAATGATTAATAAGCTGTACCTGAACTCCTGTGCAAAAATCCCAATAAAAGCCTAACTAGGCAAGGGTCTGGGCGTTCTCTCCCCCTTGGAGAGAGTTGCCCAGCTGCCGCTCCAAGCCACTCTCCCCTTGAGTGGGTGGCAAGCCTGTTTTGAGGCTCTCCCCTTGAGGGAGTAGCCTTGCCGGCCCTTTTCCCCCACAGGACTCGGTAGTCCGTGTGAATTTGTCTCATGTCTCATCCATGACGCCATGGGCACTGCTTGTCAGTGAGCGCGTCACTTAAGGTCCTCTGGGTTCCGGCAGGTGGGTAGGGCCTGGAGCCCTGCAGGTGTGCTGGGGTGAATAGTGTCTCCCACGATTCACGTTTACCTGAAACCTGTAAAAGCGACCTACATAGAAATGAGGTTTTGCAGATTGAATCAAGATGAGGTCACTGGGTTTGGGTGGGCCCTTGGAAGCAGAGACACGCAGACCAACACGCGGAGGAGCTCGTGAGGAGGGAGGCAGAGGCGGACACAGTGCTGCCAACTCCAAGGAGCGCCTGGGGTCTCAAGCTGGGAGAGAGGCACGGAAGGGTTCACAGGGGAGGACCCTCACAGGGGAAGCCCGGCAGCTTCCAGGAGAGCGCGTGGGGCCAGGAGGCGGCAGTTCCCGTGCAGGCACCTGCCTCCCAGACCTTCAGCCCCACTCACTGCCTGGGCCGCCGCTGGATTGGCTTCTGTGACCTCGGATGAAATTCCCAACCCCTTTCATAAAAGAAGAACTGGGTGATATGGTTCCTAACCTCCCTCCTGGCTTTGATGTTCTCACCTCTGCTCTTCCTGAGGGCCACCGAAGGTGGGAGATGCATGGGATGAGAAAGTGGCCGGCGGGGGGGCAGGCGAGGGGTGTCCAGGCAGGAGCAGGACAGGTGTTCAGGAACGTGCCTGGGGGCGGGATGGGGGGACGGGGAGTTTGAACCAGGAGGGAGGGTCTCAAAAGTCAGTAGGCACTGGTTTTGTTTGAGAAACAGTTATTTACTATTAGGTTGCCGTTTCTTTTTAAACAACTTCTAAGGCCAACTTTGAAATGGATTTTTATGGTTATTTTTTTCAGGGATGGAGAGGATTTTTAAAATGCCCAAGCCTATTAGCCCATTTGTTACACACACTTTTCCTCAGAAGATAATTTAAATTGATTTATTTTTTGTGCTTCACTGGTGACTACAACTGAGTCTAGAAACATACCAGCCACTGCAGTAAAACTGCAGTTTTATGCAATGAGTCTTTTGATACTCATTAGTCACATAATCACTGGGTAAACAAGTTACTCAAAATGACATAAACTCTGCTGGATATGCCAGGGAAGTAGTATTTGTGCCCACGCTGCATAAATCTGCCTGTCCAGTCCTCCCTCCCGACAGTCCTCTGTGCAGAGTTCCGGCTCAGGCCCTCTGACTCAGCGTTACTGCAGTGATGAGGAACCTGCCTTTGAGATGGGGAGTCTGCTGATGTCTCCTTGGCCGAATCCCTCTGGGGGAAGTTGCACCGACACTGGCGTGCTTAAATCAGGAGGGCATGTGATCTAGCTGGGCACAACTCAAATGCTGCTTCCACCAGGAAGCCTGTTTGGTTGCTGTTGGGTTCCCTGCAGCCCTGAGCTCTGGGGATCTCTCCGGGGGCCCTGGGCTCCCCCTTGCACCATGCTGTTCCTCCGCTGTGTGTGGCCTTCAGCGCTGAACAGAATTGTGGACCCAGCTGCCCCAGGGGCCACTTCGCCTTTCCAAGCCCAGTTTCCCATTCAGCAAATGTGAGTCGGTCACAATGGCGCAGTGTTAGGAACAGATGAGACGGCCGGTGGGCGGAGCACTGTTTCCCGCCGTTGGCAGTCTTCGGTCAGTGACTGCCATCAGTCCCACCCACTCCCAGCTCCCAGAAGCAGTTCCAGTGTCGGTGGGTCTCCTTTCCCTCCTGTGGGGTCTGCCGCACAGGAGAGGCCTGGCAGACACGCACTGGGTGGGAAATTCGTGATTTACAGGGTTTCCTCTTTACTGGAGGGGGTTAGAGGGAGAACAGAATGACCCTGTTCTAAAATACGGTTTTAGGGGACATTCTGAAAATTTCCATTTTATTGTGGCTCTTTTTTCCTCTGCCCTGTGGAAGCAGTCGGTAAGACCTAGAGGAAACTTAGTGAGAGTCGAGAGAAAGGGACTGCTCTGTTCGTTGTCACTCTGCTCCCATGATTCAGTGGTGGAATGACAGTTTTAAGAAACCTTGGGTACATGCTAAGCTGCTGTGACAGAGTCACATGCTCTGGCTTTCGTCAGAGCTCATTCTTCACACTAGTCCAGAGGTGACCAGTCCTTAGATGATTGTCCACCATCCTCACGTCAGGAGAAGGTGGCTTCCTCTTGAAGGACATGCCCCAGAGCTTCCCCACCTCTCCCTGCTCACACGCCCATCAGACCAAACTTTGTTACACACCATGCCTAGCTGCAGCAGTGGCTGAGAACTGGGTATCTAGCTACAATTGGGGGGGGGCTCTATTACTAAAAGGATGCAGGTGGGATGATATTGGCAGTGGTTGGTGGTCTCTCCCACACAGAACTGGGAGGATCGACATGCTCTACCCCTTGAGGCAGGACTGGGCAATGCAGGGAGCATCACACAGCAAGAAGGGGGGTAGCACAAGCGGGCCCCACACAGTCTGCATGTCCGTCATTACACCAGGGAGTCCTGCCCTCCGTCTCCTATTGGTCCCTGTCTTCATCTCCACTCCATTAGTTCCCCTACTCCAAAGGCAGTGTACCTCAGGCCATCGTTTGAAGACTCAAACACATTCCTGCCTCAGGACCTTTGCACCTGCTGTTCCTTCTTCCCCAAAGCATTTGCCCCAGAGATCCACATGCTTTGCTCCTTTCACTCGTTCAGGATTTACTCAAATGTCATGACTTAGAAAGGTCTTCCAGGTCACTCTTTACGAAATTGCAACCCCCTCTGGCAATCCCACCCCCTAGCCTGCTTTATTCCTTGTTTGTTTTGTTCCCTGCTGAGCCCCCAGTGCCTGGAATGGTGCATAGCACTATAAAGACTTGTTGATGAATGAATGAAGACTAAGCGTGGGGAAAAAATCAGCGCTCCCTGCTGTCACTGCAGAGGCCTGGCAGCCCAGCAGGTCACATTACTGACACCCAGCCCCTTCCCACAGCCTCCCCCATGCCCAGCATTCTCCTCTGACTCCCTGGATTTTCTTGCTGGCTTATCCCAGTGGTCCCTGGGGTGAGCCTGGGGTTGGTTACTTGCTTTCTAAAGATCGCAGGCTTTTTAGCTCAGACATAGGAGCTAAGTAAAGGCGAGCACTTGTGTATGCACCTGAGAAGCTCATTGGGAGGCAGGCCCAGCCTCCCTGTGGACCAGACTAGGACTGACTGGGCACCTGTCACGCAGGGGGCTCTTGGTAAGATGAGAAGGAAACCTTCCTGGGAAGGGAGGACGCTGGCATTTGCTCCCCTCCTGCTGTGTGCCAGGCCCTGCCCTGAAGGTGGGAATGGGCTGGGGGCGGAGGCTGGTGACTTGTACACACACTTATAGGATGAAACAACTGTGCAGGATCATCATGAGAAGAGACAATTTCATTGGCTAGAGCAGGTGTCTGCTGAGAAGACCTCCTATGTGGGCCCCGCTCTGGGCAAGGTGGTAATGAGTTTGGTGCACATTTTCTCCACAGAGATTTGCTTTTGCATTTCAGGTACAGATTCTTGTTTCCAGAGTGGCCGATCACCAGAGCCAGCCAAGGCAGATGGAGAGCCAGGCTCCTCACCCCGCCAGGGCTAGCGACCAGGGAATGTCTGGCCCAAGGACATCTTTGGAAGCTTCCACAGGAAATGAACACTTTGTGGGTGGCAGGGTGGAAGGGTGGACCAACTGCTATGGTACACAACCCCCCAGTTTCAGTGGCTTGCCCTGAGAAGTTTTTCTCTCGCTTGTTCAATCCATTGATGCGGGTGATAAGCATGCAGAGTTCAGGATACAGCCGCTTCCATCTTCTGGCTCCATTGCTCTTAGGGTGGCATGAAGGCCATAGCAGTCTCTGGGGCACAATTTGGCACTACCACTGCAGCCCCAGAGCTTCATCTGGGGCAATATCTGAATGAGTGGGCCTGGCGCTGTTTGCATAAAACTTTACTTACAATAACAGTCATGGGGCCAGAGGTAGTGGACTAAACTCTTCCTTAGGACTTTGTGTATTCCTTGCGTCTGCATGCAACTCACAGGGCGGGGGACGGGCAGGGGGCAGACTGCAGAGGATCGGGCAGGGGGTGTTTGCATCTGGCCCTGCAGTGGCTCCAGCCCCTTCAGCCCCATTCCAGTGACCAGAACTTTGGCCCTGCCTCCCCCTACCTGCGGGGAGACTGGAAGAGGAACCACATGTTGACAAACCCATTGCAACCTCAGAAACCTGTTCAAATTCGGCACCCCTGTGCCCCCACGAATAGTTACTCCTCTTCCTTCCAAGGGCTTATCACAAGATCTGCTCATCCTGTATATTTCCTTCTTATTTGTGGTGTGTCTTCCTACCTCCCCTCTTCCCGCCCACCCAGGCCCACGTGAGCATCTGTCTTGGTAACTACTGCCTCCACTGAGCTAGAACAACATTGGGCCCATGGCAGGCACGTAGAAATGCTGCCCCAGGCCCAACAACTGCCCCTCCTGACTTCTGACTTGGCAGTGGCCCTCACCCTGCCACCCCTCACTTGGGGGACCCTTCCACCTCCTCCCATATCCCAAGGTCAGCCCCAGCAGGCTTTGAGATTAGACCTGCCCCAAATATACCAGAGAAGCCACAACATGTCTTCTTAATATCGTTTAATGTTTCTCTCAGAGTTGGGGTCGGGTTGCCTGGTGATACTGCTGAGTCATTGGCTGAGCACAGTGGAAGCCTATGGAACAGCAAGGCTGGCTAATTTTAGCTCAGGGCACCCATGTTTGTTCCCTTTTCCTCGTCTCCCTCCCCCTCACAGCAAAGGTGAGTTAGGACAGTCACGCGTTCTCCTCCTCCATGTGTCATCCACAGCAGGCTGCACAGAGGTGGGGCTGGGCTCCGAGCAGCGGGGGTTCCACTGGGCCCTCGGAGACGGCCAGTGGCGTCCCTGACTTTCATTCTCTTCTTAACTGGCACTGTGTTCCTGGAGCTGTCCCTTGGTTAGATGCGAAATGGTGGGGGAGGCAGGTGCCGGGCGAGGGGCAGGGCTGAGGGCACTGGATTGGCAGTCCCAGCTCTGTCACCCCCGGCTGTGTGACTCGTCACATTAAGTCCCCTCCCGGGGCCTCTGTGTCCACGACTGTAAAATGGGCAGGTTGGGTCTGGTGACCCTAAAGTTACTTTTAGCTCTAAGAAGCTATGAGGCAGGGCTTTCGAAGCTGGCAGGGCAGGGGAACGGCAACAGAGGTCCCCCTGGTGTCGGGTGGAAAGGGATCAGCTGCTCTGAGTCTCAGAGACCAGTGTCTTCAGAGGCAGACACTCTGTCCTCACAGAGGTGGCCCGAGGCGACACCCTCAGCCTTCCGTCATGTTCTATCTGGGCTGCCTGGGAGCAGAAGTTAATTGTGTTTTGTTTTTGTTTTTTTTAAGATTTATTTATTTATTTATCTTTAGAGGGGAAGGGAAGGAGAGAGGGAGAGAAATATCAATGTGTGGTTGCCTCTCATGTGTCCCCTGCTGGGAACTGGCCTGCAACCCAGGCATGTGCCCTGACTGGGAATTGAACCGCAATACTCTGGTTTGCAGGCCCACGCTCAATCCACTGAGCTACACCAGCCGGGGCAGGAGCAGAAGTTAATTTTGTTTCTCCTTTGAATACCTTTGGGCTCAGCCAGCACTTCCCAAGTTTCCTTCCCTTTCTCACTGTCCATTCCCCCACCAGTGTTTCCTGGGGTCCCCTCCTAAAAAAAGGGTCCCTATGTCACTGGAGAGAGCATGGTGTTCCCAGATATGATGTCTGGAGAGGGACGCGACCTCACAAGCACAGCATCTGTCTGGGAATGCAAGGCCTCCATCTTTGCACTAGGAGATACGGACACACACCAAGTGAGACTGCTACTGAAAAGGGGTGGGAGTTATGCCAAATTCCAATGGTGTCTATGTCAAGGAAAGGCTAGGGAAAGGATCAGATCCCAGGAGACTGAAGCGATCAGACAAGCAAATTCGACACCCAGTCCTAGGCCGGCCCCTGTCCTGGAGGGGAAAGGCTAGAGAGGGGGTTATTATGTCAGTTGACAAAATTGGAACAGTCGGTAGATTAAATTAAAACATTGCGTCCAAGTTAAATGTGCTGATGCAGGTAACTGCCCGCGGTTTTCCAGGAGAAGGTCCTCACTCTTAGGGTCTGCACACGGAAGTGTTTGTGTTTTCCGGTGCTCTCTGCCTTACAGCGAAGGGGCTGGTTTACCGTAGAGCCTCCTATCCTTGGGTTTTGAGGGAGAATTGTGGGTTCTTCTGAGAACCTGGTGATGTCTCTGGACACTCTGTACTTTGAAACAACATAACCTGCACATTCTTTGTTGTGTGTCATGTCCAGAGGTCACAGACCCTTGAAGTGACGCTCCCCTGGCAGGTCTTCAGTTACCGAGTTCTGAAGTTCCGAAAGCAGAGGGCACGGCGGGGTCAACTTCCTCTCAGATGACCCAAAAAAACATACTATGTGTATATAATAAAAAATAGAACCCTGGCTGGTGTGGCTCAGTGGATCGAGCCCTGGCCTGCAAACCAGGGTGTGGCTGGTTCCATTCCCAGTCAGGGCACATGCCTGGGTGTGGGCCAGGTCCCTAGTTAGGGGCATGTCGGGGGCAACCTATAGATGTATATCTTGCATATAGATGCTTCTCTCCCTCTTTTTCCCTCCCTTCCTCTCTCTAAAAAGAAATAAACAAAATCTTTTAAAAAATAGAGAGAGACAGCAAATAATAAAACAAATGGGGCAACGTGTTTTAAAAAGAGGTGTATTTGAGTGTTCTAGATACTATTCTTGTTCTTGCAACACTTTTTTCATGTTAGTTTAGCATGTTTTTCCAAATGAGATGTTAACAAATCACTCGCCTAAATGTCATTCACTAAGTGATGCCCATTACTAGCATTTCAGTTCGCGGAAGGGGGAGGCAGGGAGTGTAATGCTGCTGAGAGGGGCAGGCAGTTGGGCATGAATAGCCAGGTACTGGCAGGCACAGGGTCAGGTGGGGTAAGGACCCAGGGGGGTGGGTAGGAACACGGCAGGCAGCTGGCGGACAGGGGTCTCAGTGAACTTCTATTCAAACTTGAACTACTTGCTGACTTTTGCTAGGAGAACAATTCTGTGGAGAGTCAGGGGCCATGGTCTGTTTTTCTCTCTCACCGCTCTCCTTGTTTCTTACCTGCCCCTCCACGGAATAAATCGTTGCAATGAGCTCCACTTCCCAGAATCGCAGGCTGTCCACGCTGAGAGAGACTTTAACCACCATCCCATCTCCTGTTTCCATGGGATCACTGGGAAGGGGAAGGCGCGGTGAAACCAAGCTCCAGGCCCACTGTTACGCGGTGAAGGAGGGCGACAGTGGGCACCCGAAATCTCCCGGACAACCCCATTCACTCGGGGCAGGGTAGCATGGCAGAGTGTCCTTACCACCTTGCCCGAAGTGTTTTCTTTGAGGGTTCGGGCACCGTTTCAGACGAGCCTAAGAGCTGCAGCGTGGCATACGTCCTGCGAAGGGTGCACTGCTGGGAACCTGGATGCTTGGATCTAACTAAACAAACTGGCTACGTGGCCTCGGGCAGGTGGCTTTCCCTCTCTGAGTCTTGGTCTCTCCACCTTAAAGTGGAGGAGCTGACTTACTCAAGAACTTCTCATCCTTTTTGCGGGGTCATGGATTCCTCTGGGGATCTGATGAAATCATTGGGCTTTTTTTCGAAGCTGTGCACTTTGAAATACATAATCTCCAGGGGTTCACTGACCCTCTCCCAGAAAGTCTCTGCTTAGACTGTCGTCCGAGGGGCCTTCCAGTTCCCAATTTCTCAAGTCCGAAAAGCCATCAGAATAGAGGCAGTGGGTGGAGTCCCATTTGCGTTGCATTGGAGAATTAACCATCCATCCCTGAGTCATTTTGGGGGGCTCAACTCTGTCTGGCTAGAATGATGATGAAACAACATTTTAAAGTTACCTCTTGGAGACGTATCTACAATACAACATGAAAATGGCTTGAAGTAAAGGCCATTTGCTCTTTGCTTATAGCTGGAAATTTTCTCCCTTTGGCTACAGTCACACCCATTGGCCTCAGATAAAATAAACCCTATGGGAATCACAAGACTCCTTCCAGCCAATAGGGATAAAGAGACTGCCTAGCAACTCTCTTGTCTCCCCTATGCCATCCAATCAGCATGAAGGAAAGTCTGCTCAGAGGCTAGACTAGTCCCCCAGAACATTACTGGGGATTAAAAATAGACCATTTAATTAAACTCCACATGTGAGTAATTGATTCCAATTTTCTACTTCTAATTTCATAAAGAATTTCCACTGGGCATGTACTAAGAAACTATAGAACCTTGTAATGTTGCTGATAGGCTTACCTATTTTTCTTTCAGACCTTGCACAATTTTGTTAAGATGCCTGGTTTGTGACACAAAGGGAAACAAAGATGCTGGGCTGGGAGCCAGTCCCAGCAACAGGCAGAGCTGGAGTGAGAAGTGGCCGAGTCACTCACGGCCCATGCCATTGAGACCTCTCCCAGGTGTGCTTTTCTGGGGAACGACAGACAAGATGCCAGAACTTGGCTTCACCACGTACAACGAGTAACTGGCAGGAGGTGGGCCCTCGTGCCTCACCTGAACTGCTCAGTTGTTCTCGGTGCCAAACCCGTCTTCCCACATCCCATCCCATCATCACCATCCAGCCCTGCAGTGCATTCACGTCCCTGCTTTCTCCAGCGTCTCTGACATCCCCTTTCCATTCACAAATCTCCCAGATCCTCTGCGCAGCACCCACAGCCCACCACTTCTCACCCCTACGCACTTTTCCAGCCTCCGACATCCCTCCCTCCTCAACCCTTCCGTGTCTCTGTGAGGAACCTCTGTGAGCCAAACGCTCAGAATTCGTTGTTCTTTCTACTCTGGCCTCAGCGTGCACTGCTTTTATTTCACATGACTTGGTCCTATATCTTCCCCCTGCTCTGGACGCAAAGGGCCAAATTGTGTTACTGAATGAATCGATACATAAATAAATACATTTAAATATAAGCTGAGGATGTCCATCCTCTGGCATCAAAGGCTTGATCCAGGGGCCGGCGAGGGACAGATCCCTTGGTTCTGTGCCGAAGCTACACTGTGTCTGTCTGTGGTGGCTTCACTGAAGGTGGAAAGCCTAGGTCCCCGCAGTGCTGGAACAACTAGCAGCAGGAGCAATCCTCTCAAGGGACAATTCAGAGCCCTGCAAGAGTAAGCCTCTGTCAAAGTCAAAGTCTGGATAATCGGAGAATGTCCCACCAGGATCTAGTTGGCTAAGGGGGTTTTGCTGTGGCTGGCAAGCAGCATTTCTGCCCAGGTCCTAGGCAACTCAGGAAGAATGGCATGCTCACAGCCACTGTGCAGTTTAACACAAAGAGACCAGTTCTGCCTTCTTGGCAAGAGCTTCCAGAACTGGGGGAAGGTGGCTGTGTTAGGAAAACCATTGGTGGTGGTGAGCAGGAGAATGTACTGATTCCTCCTGGAACTCCGATGGGGGCTAGGTGGGGAGCTCTGAGCAGAAGGGTCTGCAGTGACTGGGCCCTCCAGGTCCTGGTGCTGGGGTGACCCGGGAGAGAGGAATGGAATTCTGTAGGCTCAGCTCTGCAGGAGAATGGATTCCAGCTTGGGATGCTGAACACTCTGCTGGGAAGGAAATGAGAATGGAGACTGACCTAACCCAGCAAAAGTGGATACGCTCAAGGACGGGCAGGGAGACAAGAAAAGACAAGTGACACGGCTAATGGCAGCCTGGACTGTGATGGCCAGGAGGGTCAGGAATCACATCCACCCCACTGTTGGCCTTGAGCCCCTCTTAGCTTCAGGAGCTGCCCGCCAAGCTCTAGAAATGTACTACCGCATGGTCTACACCTGCCGTTCTCAAGCCCATGTCAGCTGAGGGCAGTGGACTCAAGTGCTCGCAGGTTCAGGAGGGGTTTTGAGTCAACTGTATTTGATGGGGGAGGCGGGTCCCTCCAGGATCAGGTCGTCCACATCACTCAGGAGCTCGTGTTCACTAGCTGTGGTGGCTTTTTGCAGGCTGCGGAGGCGGGCCTGGAGTTGTTCTTGCTCCTTCTTGAGCTCCAAGTAGGAGTGTGAGAAGGTGTGGAAAATGGACGTGGCTGGGAAGGCCATGATGAGGATCCCGCTCAGGATGCTGCTGAGGGCCACCACCTGACCTGGCACGCTGCGCGGGACCATGTCTCCATAGCCCACCGTCGTCATGGAGATGATGGCCCACCAGTAGGAGGCCGGGATGCTGGTGAATTCCAGGACCCGCCCAGACTCATTCTCTGCCACGTAGACCAGAGGGGAGAAGAGGGTGATGGCCACACCAAGGAAAAGGAGAAGCAGGCCGAACTCACGTGTGCAGCGACGCACGGTGAGGCCCAGCGTCTGCAGCCCCAGTGAGTGGCGGGCCAGGCGCATCACATAAAGGATGCGCAGGGCCCGCAGCACGCGCAGCACCAGCCCCACCTTCTCCAGGTAGGAGCTCCCGCCCGATCTGTCATTCTCCTCCTGGGGCTCCTCGGACACCACCAGGGACACATAATAGGGGAAGATGGCCAGGATGTCGATGATGTTCAGGGGCCCTTGGAAGAACTGGCACTTGTTCCGGGCCTGGACAAACCGAAGGCAGAACTCCAGGGAGAACCACGCCACACAGACAGTCTCCACGATGAAAATGTAGTAGCACTTCTGAGAGCATTCACCCTAGAGAAGCAACGAGATGGCAGAGTGGACGGGCAAAAGCACTGGAAATGGGGGGAAATAACCATGTCAGAAAGCCACCCCATATATTTATATCAATATGGGTATCTATCTATCTATCTATGGACTATGTGGAATATTGACATACTGAATATTGATATAGATTCTACATGTAGATTGTACATATTAATATACTCCTATATATTCTATACATACTATACACTCTCTTTATTCTATATATTATCTATCTCAATTGAGCTGTGCTGTAGATTCTTAGTTGTGCACCAAAACCTCCTTTTAAAATAATTTACTTACTTATTTTAGAGAGAGATAGAAAGGGAGAAAATAGAAACATCAATGTGAAAGAGAAACATCAAATGGTTGCCTCCCCCACGCACCCCAACCAGGGATCAAACCTGCAACCTAAACATGAGCCCCGACTGGGAATCGAACCAGCAACCTTTCAGTTCGTGAAACAACTTTCCAACCAATTGAGCCGCACTACCAGAGCCCCCTTTTACATAGTTATCAAATTGTGGCTGGGCATGTGCCTGGTCAGCTAGACCAGAGGCCATCTTTCCAATTTCCCTTGCAGCTAGGTGTAGCCAAAGAACCAAGTCCCCACCTGTGGGATGTAAACATATATGATGCATGCCACCTCTGGTTCTAGAACTCACGATACGGTGTGAATTCTTGCACACTCTTTCTCCCCATGAGCTGGGACAACCCATTTGGCCCTGCAACCCAACTTGGAACCAGCAGATCGAACCAACAGCCCAGGGTAGGATGGAGCATCAGGGTAGGAAAAAAAAAAAACCTGGGTCTCAGAATGAGAGCTGCCTATTCACCTTGATTCCTCTTCATGGAGAAATTAATTTCTGTTTTGTTCAAAGCCATTGCATCTTGGGGCCTCTTTGTTACAGCAGCCAGACTGTACCTTTTGCAGTAGGAGCCCCTCTTGTGGACCGGGTGCAGCTCTAGTGCTGTCACTGAAGCCGCACAGTGACACCGTGAGTGGGTAGCACGGCCTTACTTTATGACCCAGGACACGGTCCCCTGCAGTGAAATGACTTGCCTGAGCTCACAGACATAGGAGATGGTCTCTCAGCCACGACACTCTATTTTGTGACTTCTTTGCGTGCCTTCCCTTGTTTATTATTCATCCAAGAATATCGTCTAAGGCGTTCGCCCTGTGCGAGGCCCTGAGTGAGGCTCTGGGTGGGATAAAACACTAGAGAAGCAGATGTTTCTGGGGGCCTGGAGGCTGGTGGGGCAGAGGGGCTCCCACGTCCTAGAGAGGCCCCGTGACACGATTGTGACTGTTCCCACAATTGTCTCGTGGGGACTGTTGTGGACTCGTCGTCCTGCCATCTGCACTCCCTGCTTCTTACTTCTACCAGGATCCCAAGCCCCTCTGCTCCTCAAAGTGTGGTCCTTGAACCAGAAGCATCCACTTCCCCTGGGAGCTTGGTAGAAACACAGAATCCTGGGCCCTCCCCTATTCCTGAGGAATGAGAGTCTGCATTTTAACGAGGCCCGCAAGTGTTTTCATGCATGTTAAAGTCTCAGAGGCTCTGGTCCCACACAGCGATTCCCAGACTTGGCTGCACAGCAGAGTCGCCTGTGCAGCTTTGAAAAAATCCCGGTGTCTGGGCTGGGACCTCCGAGATTCTGTTTAATTGATCTAGATTTGAGCTTGAGCAGTAGAATTTCCCAGGAGCTCTGTAAGATGATTCTAATGTGAAGCCAGAGTTGAGAACCTGAATATACAAATATATATATGAATATATACATTTATATTTATGATGGATGAATAAATGTGTGACCAAAGCCAGTTGCCTCATTGAAAAGCAAAATGTTGACAACTGCAATTTTCTTTGTATTAAAAGGCTCTGCAGTGGAAAAAGAAATTATTTCCAGTGCCTGGGCCCACAGGAATACCAGATTGACAAATGTCCTTTACGTCTGGCTGCTGGTGGAAGAGAAACGGGCTGATCTGCTCTGCCCCCTGTCTGCCTGTCCAGGGCTGGACAGCTTTCTCCCTTGACCTGTATCTGGTCTATGGAAGGGGTGGGAGGAGGTGGGAGTGCTGTTGAGGGCGTGGAGCCTGTAACCCAGATTCAAATCACACACCTCCACTTACTCAGGCATGTTATTTAGCCCCTTCGGGCTTTCGGTTCTCTGCCCTAGAAGTTGCTGTGATGAATGGGGATGCAGCCTATAAAGCAGGTAACAGGCTATGGCACCTGCAGGCACATTACACTTCAGAGCTGTCCTTATGAGATGAGTGACTGGTCACAGACATGGCCTGCCCAGTCAGTTTAAGGGTAACAATACCCTCCTCCTATTGCTAGATTCTACAGGAACCTGAGGAAATTCTCGAACTCACTGGGAGGTCTTTGCTGCATTTGCCCAGGTTTGCTTCGGGATCCTGGAGAGCTCAGGAGTTAGGATCCTCATTCACCAATTCTACAAATTTGCTGTGTGACCAAGCTGCGGTAACTCCCTCTCTCTGTGCTCCGGTTTCCAGTGAAGACATTAGAACAGAAACAGTACTTCTGAAAGCTGAATTAGAACCCCTTGCATCAGAATCTCCTATGGTGTTTGTTACAAATGCAGATATTTGGGCATCTGGAAGTTTTTCAGACTCCGGGGTAGATTCTCCCTAGTTTTTCATCATTGACATTCTAGGAGATTGCCTCCTGGCTTAAGAGCCTGTGGTTGCTGGGAATAGCTGTTTCAGGCCAGTGACCCAATAGCTCGGGAAGGTGTCTCCTGAGAGCTCTGTGGGTCCCCCTACTGCCCCTGAGGCCGGTGTTTGGATATTCAAGGCATGCACCAGCCACCTCCCTCCTGCAGCCGGGCCTGGCTGGCCTAGCCACCTCCGGGCACTGCAGCAAACGCCCTCTCTGCCGACTCACCCCTGCACTGCCATTCCGCTCTGCATCCTTAAACTGACCTCCCAGCCCTGATCCCCAGAGAAATGCCCTGTTAGCTGCTGGCCTTGGGGCAGCAGGGATTTATGGGGCTCTAGCTAAGAAAAGAATTCCCAGACCAGCCAATATTTGAAGAAAAATAGAAAGGAATGAAACGTTACTTTTTTTCCTCTCCAAAAAAGTTTCCAGTTGTGTTTTGCACGTGGGTTAAACAACTCATCCTGGTTTGCCCAGAATTTTCTGGATTTGAACATGAAAAATCTAAGGTCACCAGAATCCCCTCAGTCCTGGGCAAACCAGGATGGCCGGTCACCCTCTTGGTGGCCCTTGTCTCAGCAGGAATGAGGTGTGCTCAGGCAGTGAAGACGAACGTGAGTCAGCCTGAGGAGTCTGGAGGCGTGAGCAGCGCAACCACAGGGACAGACAACATGTGGTGCGGGACAAGCCAGATGCACATCTCCATTCATGTCAAGTTCAAGAACAGGCAAAACTCATCTAGAGTGGACAACATCACCCAAACAGCAGCTGCCTCTGGGTGGGCAGGGGTGGAGTGTGAAGGGACCTGAGAGAACTTTCTGGGTCGATGGGGCTGTCCATTTGTTAAATTGAACAGCTAAGTAGAGCGTGCATTTCAATGCTTATAAATTTTATTTATAAAACTGTAAATAAAAATAAAAGGAATGATACCAAGCAACTGGAGTAGGGAGGGGACAGAGACAGAGAGAGAACAAGAATGGCACATGTGGGCAATTGTGGAAGCTGAGTCATGAGTGCTTGGGGTGCATTGTGTTATTCTGTTTACTGTAAATGCCTGGAATTTTCCATAATGAAGAGTTTAAAACAAAACAAAACTGGGTCAGGCCCTGGCTGGTGTGGCTCAGTAGATTGAGCACCAGCACCAGCATTAAAAGGTCACCTTCACCGATTTAAGTCCCAGACAGGGCACATGCCTGGGTTACAGTCCAAGTCCCCAGGAGGGGGCCCTCGAGAGGCAACCACACACTGATGCTTCTCTCCCTCTCTTTCTCCCTCCCTTCCCCCTCTCTAAAAATAAAAACATTTTTATAAATACATAAAAATTTTAAAAACTGGGCCAGAAATCAAACCCACAGTGAGCTACCACTCCACACCCACTAGGATGGCTATGATTCTAAAGACAAAGCAACGAGAGCTGGTGTGGATGAGAACTTAGAACTCTCAAGCATTGCTGGCAGGACTGCAAATGTGCAGCCGCTGTGGAAGTAGGTTGGTGGTCCCTCAAGCAGACGTTTGCTCTCTGGCCCGACACCCCACTCCTAGGGGTGTCCCTGAAGGAAGTGAAAACAGGGACCTGCAGCAAACTTGTATGTGACACCCAGAGCAGCCTTATTCGTGACAGCCCACGTGTGGGCAACCCAGATGCCCACCAGCTGGAGAACGAACAAACGCAATTTGGTGTACTCTTAAAGGGGGACATCGTCCCGTCATAGAAACAGAAGGCACTAAAAGAAGAAAAAGGATCGCGAACCGATCACGCTTCACACGGATGAACCTTGAAACCCTTACGCTCAGTGAACGGCACCAGGCACAAAAGGCCAGACAGTGATCGTATGACTCCATCTACATGAAATGGCCAGAAGAGGCAAGTCCGTGGAGACAGAAAGTACGATGGTGGCTGATTGTGTCTGGGGGGTTTGGGAATTTGGAGTAGCTAATAGTGTGCACAGGTTTTTGCGTTTTTTTTGTGGGAGTGACAAAAATGTCCTGAAATTATTGATAGATAGTGGTGATGATGGTACAATTGTAAACTAAACCCCACTGACTTGGGCACTTTAAAAGAATGAATGGTATAGGATGTGAAGTATATCTTAAAAAGGAAGAAACCGGGGTCCAAGTGCAAAGGGGCTGAGTCAGTCCCGGGTGAGGAGGCAGGGAAGTGGGGGCCCTGCAGCCTTGCCCCTCCTTCTTTCCCCAAGTCCCAGAGCAGAGCTGCTCTGAAGGGCTCTGGGGTCTGAGGGCGGGCAGGACCTTCTGAGGGCAAAGCCACCGTCCCTGAGGGTCCATCTGGACAGGCTGCCCAGCAGACGCTACGGGTTCGGGTTCGGTGAGGGCTGGTTCTAGAAGTCCCAGCTGGGAGGGACTTGGGGCCGAATTCTGAACCCCGGAGCTTTCCCCGCACCCTTCTGTCTCTTGCAGCAGTGCCTGCAGCTCCCCCTCTGGGCCTGTGGCCAGACTCCGCCACTTCTCACCTCCAGATCAGCTCAGCGCTGGTCCCAGAGCTCCGTTCAGCAGCTCAGGCCTTGCTCCCTCCCTCCTGCCTGCCTGTAATTTCCCCCATCCGTGCCTCTGGCCCTGTCCTCAAATCTGGGCTGATTATTCTAACTTCTCTGGGACTGGCCGTGCTGATTCATCCCTCTTCTTGGCTTCTCCCTTCCTCTCTGCCCTCTCTGGCCTCCTTTATGGCCCTTCCAGAACTCTCTCCTGACTCTCCCCTTGCCTTGAGCCTCCTCCCCCTCCCCAGTTCTCCCCATCCCCCGCACTCCCTCCTCCCAGCCGCCCCCACTCCTCAATGCCGGGACAAGGAGCTCCGAGAGTGTGTGGAGCCAAGCCGATGGGGACTAGGAGCCGGGCCCAGAGACGGAGAGTGTGCCTAGGCCAGAGGAACAGCGTGTGCTCCAGATGCAGGAAAGATGGGCCCCTTCCAGGAAATGGGGAGAACTTGTTGGCCAAAACACAGGGACACTCAGCTGGGGAGAAAAACCCCAAAACCAAAAAACCAGGTTAAGAAGACTTCCCTAGAGTAATTACCAAATATCAGGATGCACAGAAAGCAGGCAGTTGTCCACGGAGCTGATCTGTGATCCATCCAGGAGAGGCCCAGGGGAGGAGGAGGAGGAGCTGGCTCTAGCACAAGGCTTTTTATCAAAGGTGGGAGGTAGAAACTACAGCCTGAAAGTTGAGCTGCGCCCTCATGAGAAGGCCATTGGCCATATTCCCAAGGCAGAGCTGGCAGGTATCACTGCAAGAGACAGAAGGGTTCAGGGAAAGCTCCAAGGTCAAGAATTTGGCCCTGAGTCCCTCCCAGACGGAACTTCTAGAATGGGCCCTCGCCGAACCTGCAGCCGTCTGCCAGCTGCCTCTCTGGGCTGTGGCCAGACTCAGCCACTTCTCACCTCCAGTTCTGCTCAGCGCTGGGCCCAGAGCTCCACTGGGCAGCTCATGCCTCCCTCCCTCCCTCCTGCCTGCCTGTGATTTTCCCCATGTGTGCCTCTGGGCAGCCTGCTGAAGGTTCAAGGGGTATCCCATAGTTCCACCTGGTCTTTTAAAATCTCTCTGTGCCTTCCTCCCCCAGCCCGGCATCGTAGCAAGATGCCTAGACCACAGTACAGGATGTGAGGGTCAGTGAAGTGCAGAGCCCCTGCTGTCCCAGCCGGAGCCCCACTGCGGTTCTGTGACCACCCAGGCCACTGTGCGCAGCTTCAATCCGATGCACATGGCAAGCAAACCTCTGGGACAAAAGTAGAATCTAAAGTGGGAGGAGAAGTGAGCAAAGGCTGCCAGGCAGGTAGCAAGAGCAGGTTTGTGCCTGTACTTGTCACCGCCGAGTCCCCAGCACAGAGTAGGCCCTCAGGGGAGATCTATCGATTACATGAAGGATGTCGATGGGCACTGGACACAGATGGAGAAGACACCCAAGTGGACTGGCCCCGCCTCTGCCGCCACCGTGTGGGTTCTGTGAGCTGGGAGAGAAGTTGATGAGCAGAGCAGATGAGCAGGTGGGAGGGGTGTGAGCTGAGTTCCAAAGGGTGGGCGAGAGCAGCGAGCTGCACTCTGTGCCGGCACACGATAAATCAGGTTACTCAATCCTATGGCCACTCTCTGAGTAGGTGTTGGCATTATCCACTTTGATAGGTGACAAAACAGAGGCACAGAGAAATAGAGCGACTCATTCAAGGGCCAAGCCAGGGAGTACCAGAGCTGGGATTTGAACCCAGGACCAGAGAAACAGAGATTCTGGCTCCTTTCCAGGTAGAGATACTGTCTGTCTGCAGCTGTTGGGCTATCTCAGTACCAGTAAAGAGGAAGAAAGAGGTCAAGAGAGGAGGAAGGAGTGTTCAGCTGCAGCTGGCAATGACCTTCAGCCTCCCCCAGAGGGAGGGAAAGTGCTCTGACAAGCAGAGCTGTCCGGCAAGGCTGAGGCTGTGCGGGAGGGCACAGGAATGAATGACAGAATTGAGAATCTTAGCAGAGGACTTGGGCAGAGGGGAGAAAAGAATGTGGGAAGTTTCAGCATTCATTACTGAACGGATGGACAAGCAAACTGTATCAGAACAGACAGTGGACTATTACTCAGCAACAAAAAGGAGTGAGGTACTGACACATGCTACAACGTGGGTGAACCTTGAAAACAGGCTAAGTGAGTAGAGCCAGAAGGAGCCGTCCAGCATGGCCCGAGTCACAGCCCATTCGCCCAATCACTGCTTTCGGACTGATCTCCCTGGAGGCAAATATGAAACACCAGGCATTTGTGGTGAGAGAGAACATCATCTTTTTATGTAAATAAAAAGATGGTCTTGAAAGAACAAAGACAGCACCACCTTCAGCCTCCTGGCTCTCTGAGTTATCATTATTGTTGAAGCAGAAATAGATACTTATTCTGAGGGCCGCATCTCCCAGCCTCTCCCAGCAGTGCAAGGGAAGGCGGTTTCACAAGGTGACATCCCCCAAACCCAGGAGCAGGAATGACAGCTGATTGCTCTGCTCAGACCTGGGGCTGCCTGGCTCTGTGGCCCCTTCTCCACCTCTGATTTGATTTTCTGAGCTTCCATTAAACCAGACTTGGGTTCATACCCTGGGTAATTCTCAAAGCAGTAGGCTTTGAAAAGTCCTTGTCCCTCTGCCCAGCCTAAATCCTGGCTCCCTGAAAATCCCTAACAGAAGCGGGCTGGTAGAAATCCAGGGGTCCTCCCTCAGTTACTGGGATCAAGGGCACCCTCTGAGATAGGGGGTGAAGGCCATTTTTTTGTCCTAATATTTTTCCTGCAGTGTCCACGTGTAAATATTTCTGTGGATGAGCAGGATCTTAAATCACATGATATCGTGCTAAAGAATGTAAACAATGCCTGCAACTGGGGCAATAGTCCTCTATGGGGAGGAAAAGCTGTTTGAAAGTCTAATATTTTGGTTAGTTTACTTTAGGACTAAGTATTTATAAGTTGGATGAGATACATTTTATGCAACAAATCATTATTGAGAGCCTACGCTGTGTGAGGAACTGGCTGATTCTCCATCCAAGTGCTTTCTATCTGCAAAGTTCTCTGATCCTACCATATTGCCCTGGAATACATCTTTAAGGGAAGGGAACCTACACTGACTGACCATGGCTATAGCTCACATACGGGCTGCATTGTCTTACATACGTGTTTCATTTATGGGCTCCTTCCATATACAGTAGTATAAGCTCTGTAAGTTAGAGTGATCGGGAGCCATGGAGGAGTATAAAGCTGGGCAGGAGCAACATTTTAAATTAGTTTGAAGCTCTCTAATAACCTTCCCAACAAAGTTTCAGATTTGTGTCTCATTTCTCAGACCGTCTGACTCCCTGGGGCGGTGGGGGTTGGAAAGAGAGCGCAGGAGTAGACAAGAAAATTTTAAATTTTTTGCTCTGGCCTCCCCGGGCAGAGTCACTTAGAAGTTACTGTATCTCTCAGTTCCCCATTCAGTAAGAATGACAGAGAAGCTCAGGAGTGGAGTTAAGAAGCAGAAAAACTGAGGACAGAGTATCTCTGCCTCCTTGGCATATTTATGCTGTCACTGTGAGAAAGCCAAATGCTCTGTGCCTCAGTTTCTTCATCCAGAAATGGAGTTGGGTTGCCCACTGAATGGTGGCTAAGAAGGCAGGGCACAGAATATTGCCCAATAAACCCATGATGAGAGCCCCGAAGGTGTAGAACTCTACTCATTTTATGGAGGAGGAAACTGAGGCTCAGAGAAATGAAGCCAATTCCAATGGTCACAGAGCCGGGAGCCAAGACGCTGGACCTGCCAGGCCTGCTAAGAACAGGGGCGGCTTTGTCAATGTCCAGGTTCACCGTCAGAGGCAGAACCACCTTATGACTTTCGTGGGGCCCGAGGTACCTTGGCCTTTGTGAACCTCTTCCCCCCAAAATATATTAAAAATTCTCTTTCATGACTGTTGGTCTAAAAATAAATATAATCCATGCTGGGTAATATTCATTTTTTCCTTCTTGTTTTCAAAGACATGAAAATGTTTTCATGAGCCCTGAGTCGCGTGGGCCCTGGGCACTGTGCCCAATGGAGAAATGAACCCCGGTCAGAAGCCACTTACCTTGTCCTCCTCGGCCCTCAGGTCGGGCATGGTGCTGACACACAGGCTGACCGCTGTGGTGGCCACAAAAAGGATGGACAGGCAAGCAAAGACCTTCCCGGGGAGCCCCGACTGCGGGTTTTCCACCATCTCCCGCAGCCAGTTCATGAAGAGCCCCCAGCGCGAGGCGCCCGCGGCGGGGCCGCAGGCCTCCCTCTGCCGCTGCAGGGCCTCCTCCCTGCGCAGCTCCGCCAGCTCCTCCCGCTTCTTCAGCAGCTTCCGCAGGCAGCACTTCTCCAGGTTGGCTTCCTCGATGCCCCAGTAGGTCAGCTCCTCCTGGAAGGACAGCACACACATCTCCCGCAGGAGGGCCAGCTTGCCGGCCGCCAGGAAGCTCACGATCATTCCGAAAGCACTGGGGCTCCTGTCGAAGAAGAACTCCTGGTTGTCCTCATCGTAATCGTCGCAGAGCTGCGCAATCTCCTCCTGGTTCCGGCAGAACTTGAGCTTGCTCAGGCGGCTCAGGGGAAACTCGTCGAGCGTGCTCCAGGGAAGAACGTACCTCCTGCCCCCAACGTTCACCAGGATCTCCTTCTTCAGGTCTGCCGCCGGGGAGGCGTCCAGCGCGCCCACCTTCCGGGCCCTGCGGTAGTAATGGCCCTTGATGGACGGTGGCTCCACGGAGCCAGGCAAGAGCTGACTCAGAGGGCTGCAGGAGCCGGAGTGATGGTGCCTGGCTGGCAGGCCCCTGACTCTGGAGGCTATGGGCATTGCCGTCGACGTCCTGGCACCCAAGAGGAAAAGAGCAAGAAAGCAGGGGGAATCAGCCTTAGGGCAGAGTCCTAGATGTCCCCGGTTTTCTCCGGCCTGCTTTCCTGCCACTGTATCTGCATTATTCGTTCTTTTCATCTTCCCTCTAACACAGAGTTATTAGGCACCTACCATGCACTTGGCTTCTGTCAGTGAACAAAAGGAGACCATACCCTCCCTTCCTGGAGAAGCACACACTTATCTCTCGGCAGCCCTGGAATTAGACGTGATGTGGACTGGGACTTGGGGAGCTCAGTCCTGAGCTGGATGAGTCAGAACTGTGGCACTTTCAGGCTGTGTGGCCTCAGGCATGTACCTTAACCTCTCTGACTTCAGCATCATTCACTCCATGGCAAAACTTGTACCAACCTTGCAAGGTACAGTTGATAAAAATAGGGCTTCAGTGTGTAAGAGGTTCTCAAGGTCACTGCCAGGTTCCGACCCTTTAAGAACTGCTACCGCAGGTGGATTACCCAGCCACTCTAAACCCTTTGCTTTATCTATACAGCTGGGATAGTTTCAGTGCCCACCTCATGGGGCACAATGAGGGTTCCATGTAGTAATATACATGAAGTGTATATTAAAAACACTTCTAGATGCATCTGACAAGCCAGGTACCTTGTAACTCATCTCAACAACCCCATGAAACAGACAGTAATGTTTCCATTTTACAGATGAGGAACAAAGGCCTAGGAAGGTTAAGTAAGGAGGAATGTGACCCTGTTTATCATGGCACCTGACTCTCAGAAGAAGTTCCACAATGGTCACCTTGTCCCTCTTGTTAGCTTTCTCATTTGGAGGATTTCACTCTCCATGACAGCACTCCTCCATGTTCATTGGGTGCTTATCTCACCACCCTTGCTGTGTGACCTTGAGCTAGCTACTCCCCCTCTCTGGGCCTCGGTCTCGTCATTTGCAAAATGAGGCGTCCTCTAATGCTCTCTCCATTTCAGACCTATCTGGGGCTCCTGATTTAGAATAGGGTTTTAGATTTTTGCCCACGCCCTTTGAAAAATCATCTCTATGATAGTGCTCATCCTCAGCATCCTGCAACCATTTCCTACACTGTTCATGGGAGCCAGAGCCGTTTCCAGAGCATCTATAACCTTACATTCCAAGACGCACTCCAGTCAAGAGAAACACTCAGCTGCTGAATGGAAAGAAAAGTTCCTCTCAACTGCAGACCCAGTTGGATTCCGGCAGACAGCGAAGAGTGGAATCACAGCCTATGCATTTCACACTTGCTCGCCATGCCACATCAGGCTATTCTGCACGCCTTACTTCATTTGCACGTATGGCCGGAGGAAGACAAGCAGCCTGCAGAGAGAGAGTGTTTGGAAATCCAGGGAGCCCTTCCCAAGTGTTTTCATTTTCTGGTTGCAAAAACCAAGACTCGGAGAGCTGAAGTGACTCATCCAAGGTCACACAACAAATCCAAACCCAACCCAGGGCTCTACCTCCCAGCCTGGGTCTGTTTCTAGAACTCCCCAAACTATACTTTCTGCACTCACTGCACACCCCCAGCTTGGCAATCCACTGCCCCCAGCCACCACCACACAGCTGGCACACAAAGCTCTTTCCAGAGCATGGGGAAGCCAGTCACTTGCAACGGCACTTTGGCCAAGGATGTTTCAGTGTCCTGCCGATGCCCATCCCTGCAGCAAACGCCAACTTCTTCCCCAGAAGCTAACTCACCATCCTGTCTCAGGGAGCCTGTTTCCAGCTGTTTCTCTTCCAGGCAAGAGGAGCCCACGTCTTGATGTCCTGGGAAGAGACAGGTTTGTGGTGGAAATGAAGGGAAATTTTTAAAATCCCAAACAAGCAGTTTCTGGTAGAGTTAGTTTCCAACCTTTCTTCCCTTGTCTCCTCCAGAAACTCAAAACTCATTCATTCTGCATCTCTCTTTCCAGCTGCTGCAGAACAGCCCTGGGGGAGTGGGATGGGGCTTTTAAGGGGACCCAGAAGCCCCTTCTCCTACGAGAGGCAAGAGTCTGAGGGGTTCATGCTAGGAGGGAGCGGGTCCAGCTGTCCTGCTTCGGTTCCAGAATCTGTACTCTGTGTCCCACGGGGACAGCCAGTGTGGTCCTGCAAGGGGCGGGGGTGGGGGAAAGGGGTTGGAAATGGGAAGGGCTTAGGAGTAATCTCTCAATCAGCCAGGCAGCAAGCTGGAGCAGCAGCGGCAGCCGCTGCTCTGCCAACCGCCTTAAGAGCAAGGAGAGCTGTCCTCCCCTCCCCTCCAAGGAGGAGCATAACTGGGAAGGAGCAGAGGATAACTTGGGGCCGGGGCATCTGCAGCTACTGGCACTCTGGAGGCTCCTTAGGGTATGCTGGTGAGGGGCAGGTATTCAGCTAGCGGCTGCAGGAGGAACTTTTCGCTGCTTTGAACCAGCCCAGGTCTGGGACAGGTTCAGAGAAGCCCAGCCTCCCACCACTGGGTGGGAGTTCTGGAGGCTGCAGGGACCAGGAAGAGGTATGAGTCTGGAATCACATGCACCTGGATTCCTGACTTCAGTGTAAACCGCTGGGTGACCTTGAGTCAGGTGACTTAGTACCTCTGAGCCTCATTGTTCTTGTTTGTAAAAAATGGGAGAATGGGAGGGGTTGGGGTTCACAGCAGAAGCCCCAGAGCGAGCCCCTTCTGTGGGTTTGCCTGGTGTGGTCAGGGCCAGGAGGCAGAGGCGTAGTTTCTGGGGTCTGCGTCCTGGCCTCCGCTCTGCGCTGCCTCGCTGTGTGCTCTTGGTCAGTCACTCCATCTCTCTGGACCTCAGTTTTCTCCCTGGTCAAGTGAGGACAGTCAAAGAAGTGATGACAGAAATTGCAAAATCGTCTTCTCATGTAGGCGCTCAATGTACATTGGCTCTTCTTAATTTTCTTAAGAGGTTCTGAGGTCTGATCTCTTGGCTTCCAAGCTGTGCTTTGCAGACAAGGTCCGGAGGCCTAGGGAAGAGGCTTGCTCAAGGTCACCTTGCTGGTTGGAATCTGCACTTAAAGAGACTTTGAATCTTGATGCGAGGATCCAGGAGTGAGGAAGGCCTGAGCTTGAGCCTTCCACAGCCTCCTGGAGGGGCTGGCAGCAGCTGCTGGCCTTGGTGGGCTCCCTGAGACCTGGGCTATGGGGACAAACCCACACCAATCACAGAGGCTGACTGAATGGAGGTGGTGCGGGGCAGGGGGCTGACAAACAGCACTGCTTAAAACCTCAGGGTTCTGCAAAATGATCAAGGGACCGGGAATGGGGGGTGAAAAAAAGGAGGACACAGGGATGAGACTCTCTGACTCACTGTGTCACCTCCACTCTGATCACTTTCCCATAGTAAGTCTTCAAGTGCAGCCCAGATGAATGCTGTCGCCCTGCAGGCCCCGCCTCCACACTCAGCCCACTGTAAGAAAGAAACCACAGGGCACCTGTCAGCAATGGAGTCACTCTCCCCCACCCCTGACTCCCCGGTTTCTCAGTTCTGACAGCTGCTCTATCACCTGTCATTGACCGGACTCCAAAATGGTCTTTCCGGTGCAGGCTGCTTTTCCCGTCTCTTTTCTCTCTGTCCTCCCACCTCCCTGAGCTCTTTATTATTTACCTTGACTTAATCTCTGGCTAAATCTCCCCTAATATGTCCCCTTGCCTCTCAGTTAGTTCTCTTTGGATCTGGAATATATGGGTCAAATCAAGAATTTACCACTTCCTTGCTGGGTGACCTTCAGCAAGTTTCTTAACCTCTCTGTGCCTCAATTCCCTCATGCGTAAAATGAAGATGATAGTGTGTACCTGTTGATATGTTGTGAGTATTGAACAAATCAATTCACATCTAGGAGGTGCTTGGAAGAGTGTCTGAGGTGGAGCAAGTCCCAGTTAAGTGCTTGCTGTTGTTATGAATATTATCTTAACAAATTCAAGTTCCACAAGAAAGATTTTTTTTGAAGAAAGGAGTCTGCTGTTTAAAAAAAAAAAGAAGTGTTTTAAAAGAAGGGTTGAGAGGTGCTGATCTAGTACAAGCCCCCCGTGATGTATAGAGGAGCTGAGACCCAGAGAAGGGGGAGAGTGTCCAGGCCACAGCAGGACAAGGCCAGTGAGGATGCTGTGTAATGATCTCCCCACAGCCCCAGCGCCTGCTGTCAGCACCGCCACTGTGCTGCAGCTGCACGACCTTTAATCTTAACCCAGCGTCCAGGCCCATCATCACCCCTGGCCTGAGCATTCACTGAGCCCTTCCACAGGGCTTATTAAGGTTCCAGTCTCCTTTTAGGTTAAGGCCACTGCCTTCCTGCATCCCTCCCTATTGTGTGCACTTGACCTCAGCTAGCCAGGGAGGGAGCCCAGCCCCTGGCTCTTTCCAACAGCCTGGGAGTCCCCGGCACAGGACAGCCCATGCCAGCCCCTCCTTGCTCTCTTCTGAAGGATTGCGCCTGCCACACATTTCAGATACAGGATGGGGCCGCAGTGACCATGTATGTTTGCTGTGGCAGTTGTAACAAAAACACAGATCCTGCTGTTCTGGAGGCCAGAGTCCAGTCATGGGGCTAAAGTCAATGTGTTGTCAGGGCTGCATTCCTGCTGGAGGCTCCAGGGAGAACCCGTGTCCAGCTGCTGGGGGCTGCCTGCACTCTCTGGCTTGTACACACATCACTCTGACTTCTGCTTCTGTCCTCACATCTCTTCCTCTGACACACTCGATTCTCTCTTTTATGAACCTCTGATTACATTGAACCCATTGGATAATCCAGGATAATCTCTGAATTTTTAAATCCTTAATTCAATCACTCCTGCAAAATTCCTTTTGTCTGGTAAGTAATATACTTGCAGGTCCCAGATTTAATTTTTGGACATCTTTTAGCCCAGGGAGGCCCCTCTGGGGCTCCAGAACTGTGAGATAATAAATTTGTGCTATTTTAAGCTGCTGGAATTGTGGTGTTTATTACAGCAGCAATATAAGTCCAACTGGTTTGGGGGCAAGCAGGTCAAACACCAACCATCATAGATAGTTGCAATTTGTTGAGGAGAAGGCCCTGCCTTGCCTATGTAACCAGGCTTCCCAACATCTGCTTCTAGAAGCTGGAATCCATCCATGCATTCAACAAATATTTATCGAGCATCTGCTCTGCGATGGTGATGCTCACTGGCTGTGTGACCTTGAGCAAGTCCCCTTTCCTCTGTGCATCTCAGGAACAATGGGCTAATGTTAGTCCTTATTGTAAGGAGTGAATGAGTTAATGCATGGAAAACACTGATTTCAGTGCCTGGCACCTAGTAAATGCTCAGTGAGAAATTACTATTTGCATCACTGCCATTATTATGATTATAGGAGCTCAAGGGTCCTGGTAACAGAGATGAAAAGAGCTGGAGTAGATCCCAGGGTGCCATGAGTGATCAGAGGAGACAACAAATGATAGTGTGTTGTTGAATGATAATAATTGGATTTCTGGATGGGGCGGGGGGAGTTCTGATTGTAGCATTTGCCAATCACTGTGGTGTAAATACTCCTACCATGACCAGTTTCATGCTAACAACGTAATATCCCTGAATGCTGAGCAGGGAACAGATGCTAATAATTGGCTCTTGCAAGCCTGTGCCAGGCGGCTCCATATATTAGTGCACCCCAGGGAAGCCAGGGCAGCGCGCGCCAAGGCAGGACCCTAGGTAAACCTTGATGCATGAGTAGCAGATACACAAACAGAGAGCAGAGATGAAGATAGAAATACAAAACGATGGGCTTCTCTATCTTGCTAAGAACTGTGGCTTCACACTGGCCTGGGAGAGCCACTGATTGAAGCTGTGTTTCTCCACCGTGGAACCTTCTAGCATCACCCTGGACACTTAGAAAAAATAAAATAAAAACAAACTCCAAATGACTGAGCTGCACCCAGATGAGTGGAATCAGATTTGAGGTCTGGGGATCCAAACAGAGGATGGCTTTGAAATTTCCCCAGGTGGTTCTAAGGTGCAGCCGGGTTGGGAATGGGTACTTGAAGTCAGGAGTGACCCCTCAGGTATGCCTTTTCCAGGGCTA